TTTCCATCACTGTAGTATGCAAGTTCCTTGCAGACGTTCATGAAATTGTATGTGACACCCTCTGATACTGCTGCTAGAGCACTGTGACTCCCACTTTACACAGAGCAAATTGATGTGAAAAGATGTTAAGTGATTTGAACAAGACTGCTTAGGCAATCTGTGACAAACTCTGTACATTTAATTATTGTTAATTAACTTCTGTGTTTAAAGAGCTGTAGTGGATAATATCTTAAATCTCAAATGATTCAGTTTTCATCTTACATTTGTATATTTTCTTGTTCTATTCATCCTTTACTTCCTGTGGAAGGACAAAAGAGTCCAATCATGAATTTAAATCACAGGAGTTATCACAGAGCTAAACCCCGCTAGTAGTTTGCCTAGATAGGAGGTAAATTCTTCATTCCTGTTGGTCAGGTGTCTTTCAAATAGTATCTAGATGTCTGCAGCTACTGGAGTATCATGGAGTGGCAGAAAATCACCATGCCTTTCCTTTCTTCGTCTCTTATTTCAGTAGGTCTGTGCAGTCTGTGGAGAAAAGACAAAACTTCCAGTCTGAGTTTTCATTCTAAACACAAGTTTTGGTGATCAATGCCAGCATGCTAAAAATACACCTAAATGTCTCTGTGACTCTGAAATTGAGTTTCTGAAAAAGCATTGTATTTGTCCTAAGAGGTAAAGTGTGAAGTTCTAGAGAAATGAGCTGTGAATTGCAGCTGCAATGGAAATTGATCCTGTCTGTCAGTCTCTGCTCCATATTCTCGGGAAAACAGAGCAGAGCAGGGAAGGAGCCAAGATCACCAATTAAATGGGATGCTGAAGTGCTGGGGGCTAGAACTGGGCCTGCTGGTCCCTCAGGTCGGAGCTGCAATGGTCAGACTTCCCTGCTTGATACCCTGCTGAAGCTGGCAGGACAGCGGTATGAAAATGCTGAGAGCGCCAGCAGGGGAGTTAGTGAGAACTACCTGCCTGAGCTTCAAGCATGACAGGCAGTGCACTCCTGTGGGAGAAAAACCTCTTCTCTTATGAATTGGTAGGCCTTATTTTTCCCATTCGCCTCATGATTTGTACCAGTGAGGCTTAAGAAAGTAGCTACAATACTGAGGAACAGAGGCTCAGTTCATCTAGAGAACTGCAGAGTGAGTGGAGAGGTCTGGCTGGATAACCTCTCTGCAGGTGGGTCTTTGTATCAAGTAAGAAAAAACAAAGGTTCAGCAAATAACTGTTGTGGTATGAGGTGTATGTGTTGCATATAATATAATCAGTATGGCATATTAATCTCCTTATTCATCTTCTACTCTAAAGAAATGTGACTTCAGTTGTGATTCACACTATGAAATGACACTTCTCTATGTAGCTATCACATACTTACCTGATGCAAGGAAACAACATTGGTAGGGTGACAGACTTCAAGTACTACAGGAGTAGTTAGTGCAAGTCTCATAAGCACAAGAGCAGCATCTCTACAGAATGCCTACTTTTTCACCTAAAGTTGGGAACTTACCATGGGAAAGTGACAAAAAGATCCTACAGAAAACATAACCAACTAAATGAAGTCATCATGCTGTGGTAATTAATTCAGCTTTCGCTTTTAAACCATAGTCATTAGCTGTCATTCTTTTTGTGTTACTTAACAGTTTTCTTTCCCCAAGTATCCTGCATCTTGCATGATGAAGAGCATGTACTTTCCAGTGTATTGGAAGCGACATACTGTGCTCTCAGAACCGTATAACATTAAGTATTATACCTCTGGGGTATACAGTGATACCTCCAGAGAAGCTCAGTGCTAATTCAATCAAATTTAAATCTCTTTTTCAATTTTTTTTGTTGCAATAACTGCTATTTTTCATGACTGTTTTGAGCCACATTTTTTTAATCCCAGAATTCCATTGCTACCTTAGCCTTTTTTTCTGATTAAAAGTAGACGTGTTTCCCTTCATCTCTTTCTTGCTTACTGTATGAATTACCTGAATTTAACCAAAAATTGTCATGTACTTGAAGCATATAGAACTGAAAACTCAGCTATATAGAGCAGATGAGAACTGATATCCTCAGGTCTGTAATGAAGTCATGTCTGGTAAATGAAAGAAGTGTGATATTGAAAACAAAAGTAAAATAAAGCAAATAAAGCAGTGGTAATTCAGAAATTATGTTTATTTGATGAAAGAAATAATAAAGCATCGTCTCTTCCACTAATCATGTCTATTTTGAGAATTTAGAAGTGAGGCTGAGGACACAAAGAGAGTAAATTCTTTGAAGTATAGTCCTGTATTTTCAGAGGCTCTTTCACAGACAAACTTCTTTGGAATATTTAACCTCAAGTTTTTAGTGGACAACCCCCATAAACCAGTGGTTATCCCACTTGGTGTGTCATATAAGATATTGCTTTATTTTTTCTTAAATGTCTCTCTCTGCTGTGTCCCAGAGTTTTTTTATATCCTACCTCTCCCTTTCTTTCCACTAACTGTTGTCATTGGCTGGTTGACACACTGGTTGACTCACTACGCTTACTCCACGAAGGACTCATCAGGGCCCTATCAGTTGCATAGTCTCTGAATGAATGTTGAGAAAAACAGAGGTGAGCTGCATATCTATCTGATACTATAGATTACAGAATCAAGTCAGGAGCCAAAACAGCCAAGGTGTTTGCCTTGTCTGGTGAGCTTTATCCTGTGAATATCAACAAAATCTGTATTGTCTCCATCTTTTGCAATCTACTCTCTTTCCCCTTGTCTGTTTTGTTAGAAGTGAAAATGTATCTTGTCTTTCTCATAGCAATGACTTCAAGATTTAACTAGAGGGCTAACTTGTACTTTTTACTAAGATAACGTGTCATAAGAATATCTTCCTCCTGGGCAGAAATCTTGCATAAATTTTGATCCAGGTTTTTTTGTACAGCCACTCGACATCAGTTTTAAAGTGCTATGAATTAGTTCTAATAATAAAATGATTTCTCAGCTCCCCTGTGAATTTTCTGATGTGCTTACTATGAAACTAAGCAGGCTGTTCCATGTTCTTGCATCTAGGAGCTTTATTCGACTGCTTAGTGTTGTAGGTCAGAGTCACCTGAGTTTTGTTGATTTTCTAGTCCTATTTAGCCCATTTGGATAGCATTACAGTTACACAATACCCATCAAATGCCCTTTGCTATTCTTAGTCTCACCTAAATGAAGAAATGCTCAGAAGCTGATATGAAACCAGAAAAAAAACAAGAAAGCTTCTTTATCATGAAATTTATTTCTGAATTACGCAGAAGTAAATGCTTAAGGAAGACATGAAACTCTTTAGGGCTTGCCAGTCTTTGAGGTTTTCTTCTCATTAATCTTAATTGTTGTAGCAATAGAAAATATCCCAAACACCCCAAACACCAGGGTTCTTAGCTGGGGTATCCGAGTGTGGAAGCAGGTAAATGGCTCTATAGTGATTTATCCTTGGTGAGGACATTTTTGCCGGTCAGTCTAATCACTGGAAGGGAGACCAGGATTAGATCTGTTATTGAATTTGTTTTGCTTTGCCATTTTGTCACCAATTGGCAAATATTCTATACTGGTGATCACCACTGTTGGGGAGTGGCAATTAATTAAAAAAAAAAAAAAAAAAAAAAAGCTGGAGGATTTGAAAGAGGGAAAAAATACCCTGCTTTGTAAATGTTAGGGAGAACAAGCAATTTCTTAACACCTTTTCTTCAATGAGTTAAGATGAATAATGTCTTTGAAGAAATATTTCAAGCATGGAGGGATTTTATTAAAAAGTAAAAAGATTAAATCCTATGTAAATTGTTTAGAACATTCCCAGTGAAGACATGTTGATTAATAAACATAAAAGAGGGAAGATGCATATTAATTTGTTTACGAATAAGAGTCTTCTAGCTCATTAAAAGTCTTCTAAGCATTTAACTAGTGAAGCAGTAGATAAAACCAGACATTATCTTTAATCTTGTTGAGGGCTCCAATATGAAAAAAAAAAAAAATGGATTTTTTCTAAATATGTATAATAGCTTTATTAATGACATTGTGAAAGTGTGGGGTGTGTGTCAACTCAGTGGTTTTGATGTAATGCGGTGGAAATTTGAGTTCACTTTTCTATCTCAATAGCTGGGACCAGTAGCACTGAAAAAAATATAACTTTATCAACCACAGTTTTTGGTTCTTGGATATAGATAGCCATAAGTTCTTGAGTATGATTTTGTTAAACGTGATTTATGGCTGGTTATCAACTGGAAGGTCTCCAGGAAAGCACAGATACAATAGGATATTGGCTATTTCTTTTAATTCTTTGCTAAACCACTGCTACAAACTGAAGTATTTGCACTGTTTATTTTAGATGTGGTAATAAAAGAAAAATATATATATATAAGCTCTTAACAACTAATGTTTATGGGAAGAGAGCCCTATGGACTATTTTAAAGGAGTTGGGATATTAACTTAATGTTCTGGCCAAACAGAATTTGAGCAATTGCGTTCAGTCTAACTTAAAATCAGATGAATAAGAAATTATTTTTCTTTGTGTAAACAGCCCTGGGAGAAAATCTCCATGTATTTCCAAGTTTTCCCTAAAATTACCTTTTCTTTTTAGATGTTTGTTTTGTGAAGGTTTGAGCTCTAAAAGTGTTAACACAATTTGTAAAAAAAAAAAAAAAATTGACATATTTTTTTAAGCAACAGAGAGGTAAAAAAGTAAGCATCGTTTAAACTGTATCATTCACTTTGAGTTTAATCATGAACGTTTTCTGGTATTACGTTTGCTCTTCATTTTTCATCAAAGACACTTCTCTCTCCTTTTCTAACTTTTTTTTCCCTGATTTTTCAGAGACCTGTGCATTTATTGTCATTTGGACTATGAGAGATAAAGCAATCAATTTATCTTTCTGCTTATATGTCATGTTTATAGAACTGTATAACTTATTACTCATGTTACTTACTATTATAATATAAATAAATAATCATACAAGAATTCTGAATACCAGAAATAATCATACCAGAATTATGTTGGTAATTTTGCAGATCCAATGCGTGGGCCACGAAAACTAGAGGTTGTGGAGATCAAATCTAGACAAATCACTGTTTGCTGGGAACCATTTGGATATAATGTCACACGTTGCCATCGATACAATCTCACAGTGCATTACCGTTACCAGGCTGGAGGACAAGAGCAAGTGAGAGAAGAAGTAAGCTGGGATACAGAAAGTTCACATCCCCAGCACACAATTACTAATCTATCACCATACACAAATGTCAGCATCAAATTAGTACTAATGAATCCCGAAGGACGAAAAGAAAGCCAAGAACTTGTAGTACAAACTGATGAAGATGGTGAGTTTTTGTATTTGCGTGTAGGTACACATTGTACATGCCTGCCACCTGATTAGTCAGTACATTTTTCTGTATAAGTGCATGTTATACTTTCACTAAAATCTGTAACAGATTTTCTACCAATTTCACCATTTTTAAGGCAGTAAAGGGTTCATTAAAAGTGTTATAATGATCTCTTACATAACCTATAACATCACTCGTCATTTAATAGTTTATTCATTTAACTCATAACTTGTTCTTATAGAACCATAGAATCACAGATTGGTTTGGGTTGGAAGGGACCTTCAAAGATCATGGAGTTCCAACCCCCCTGCCATGGGCAGGGACACCTCCCACTAGACCAGGTTGCTCAAAGCCTCATCCAGCCTGGCCTTGAACACCTCCAGGGATGGGGCATCCACAGCTTCTCTGGGCAACCTGTTCCAGTGCCTCACCACCCTCACACTGAAAAATTTCTTCCTAATGTCTAGTCTCAATCTACCCTCCTTCAGCTTATAATCTACCCTCTTTCAGCTTATAAAGCTTTCTTGAGCTATGTTCTACCTGTTAAAAGTTCCAGTGTCAGTTTGAAGAAGTTTCAGATGATTGTCCATATTATCCTCATGTAAGCTTTTCTGTTGAGTGATATGCTCAACATTAAATATTTGTTCTTGATTTGCAGTTTCAATTTCTCTAGATTGGCTTTCCAGCCACTGGATGCTGTTTTGACAAAGCATAACTAACAAAAAATTGTTTAATTAGGATTAATTTTGCTGTCATCTTCTGACTTTGACTTGGTTCAATTGTAGGATGACAAAGCTAAAGACCTTATTGTGATCAGGACCGTTTATGTTTTTTCTCTAAAATTTTGCATAATATTTTCTTATTCCTGGCCCTTTGGAACTTTGTATTATTCTAAGACCTGTTAAAACCAGAACCAGTTGTTGAGAGAATACCTTGAACAAAAATTGTAACTTTTTAGTATAGCATACACTTTCACTAAGGTACATAAATCTGGATGTAACGCAACAGAGTATACTGACTCAAATAATCATCATAATTTTTCGAATAACACTGTCATGTAGGTTGCAGAGGACCTTCAGAGCTCATTTAGTCCAACCTTTTGTTCAGAGCAGATCAAGTGAGAGCAGATTGCTCAAGGTCTTGCACAGTTGAGTTTTGAGTATCTCAAAAGAGGGATATGCTACAACCTCTCTGCTAGTGTTTGACCTCCCTCATGGCATAACTGCTCAGAGTTTATGGCCTTCAGATAATTTTAGAGGGTTACCACAGTGTTTTGCTCATTTAAACCTAATGTTCAAATGTCAGGCTAAAGTCAGTGAGCATCACTGTTCTATGCAACATGCGGCTCGTCTTTCCAAGCTAACTACTCTACTTCATTCTGTTGAAACTATACCTTGTTACTTCAATGCTTGTCCATTTTCATATATGAATGTTTAATATGTTTTACATTATGGGACAGTAACAGTATTGGTAAGTGAGTATCACAAGTAGATTTTATTTGCAAGGACTTATATTTGAGATATCACTTAATTCCTTATAAAAAGCTGAATTGTTCTTTTCATTCACCAGTAGTGTTTTACTGGAAAAGTACGATGCTCACTAGTTTCTTCTTATGCTGAGAGCTAAGAGTTTGTATGCAATTGAGATGGTTTACTCATCGAGAAGAGGAAGTTATATACAGTTATATATGATCTGTTTAACAATTCACCAAATGCTGCAGAATATGCACTGTCTCGCAACAAGGGATTGAGATATGATGGATGGATGGGTTTTATGCCTGAACAGTGCAGATATTAAGCAGAGTGTCTCCTGAAGCTTTTCTCAAAATGGCATTTTTTCCTTTTTTTATCCGTTAGTCCCAAGTGCTGTGCCACTTGAATCCATCCAAGGAAGTACATTTGAAGAGAAGATTTTTCTCCAGTGGAGAGAGCCAGTGCAAACATATGGTGTGATTACTTTGTATGAGGTATCTTGCATTTTGAGATGTTTTCATTTTTATATGTAGTTTTGATTTTCAAAAGTGCGTAATTAGTAAGAAAATCATCTTTTTTTCCAGTTTCTCTAAAATTAATAATCTTTTTCAAGTTAGTAGCACTTACAAAGTAATAAAATCAAATATATAATGTTAGAGTGAATTACTGCAGGACCAATGCCTTGGGTCATGAGCTTTAAGAAAACTGCTGTGTTTAGAACCGTGTGATAGAGCATTCTACCTAGTAATGTGGATCAAATGTTTAAAAGATTGAAAGACAGATTCTTATGACTTGTTAAAAAAATAGGAGACATAACACAGTGGTGACAGTCAACATCACATTTAGATAAGACTCATTACAGGAAGCCTATTGTAATAGAAACAAGCAGGCATAATTAAAAAAAAATCCAGGATTTTTTTAAATGCAAATTCAACAAAATTATATGTTGTTAGAGGTCTAAAAATCGCTGCTTTTCCTCATGTGGAACCTCTGCCTGAATACCTTTTAGAAAAATTGACAAAAGACTGCACAGATTAAGCTGTCAGAGAGTAATCACTGTTAAGCTTCTTACCTGACCTTACTACAAAATTTGTATTGAAATGCTTTGTTTTAAAAAAAACAACCTAAATGAGATACGGTGTAAAAGAAAAGTTAAATTGAATGGTGACCTATTGATACTGTTTAGAAAACTATTTTACTGTAAGAGGGTAAAACGTTATGAAAAATCATGGATTGATTTTTTTATAAAGCTAACTACTTTCCA